GTTTCCCAACCAGTCTCTTGAAAAGAATGTGTTTTGTTTTTTGTTTTTTTTTTTTAAATGATCATGGCTAAGGAGACAAATCTGTGAGCATAGCGAATAAAGTATATATGCAGACACAGCCGACCTTGGATATCATCACAGGTGCAGTGAACAACGGATGTGTGGAGCACGTCATCACAGTCTTTAAATTTTGAGCTAGAATGACTTAAAAAGAACATTACTAGGGGAGGAAAAAAAACTTTTAAACTATGAAACTTTGAAAATTTAAGGCTTATATATTATTATTACTATTATTACTAGTCTATTAGTCATCAAAAATGATGGCAATTAGTTTGGATATTGAGATGAAGTGAAAGAAAGGTTTTGAAAGAATATATTGATTTAATGAAGCATTGATAAAGAATTCAAAACTAACAGGTTAATGAACTGTTTTCTTAATCTAAAGGTTCAGAATTCCCAACTGAAACACTGAATTAGTTCCTTATTCCTGTTTTTTGTAATTTTTTTTTTTTTTTTAATTCCTTGGTTGTATTTACTTTTGATATCAAACTGCTGAAGTGGGGTGTGGGAAAAGCCTCAATCCATGCAGTTATTCAGAAAACAAAACTTCTGTCATAAGTTTTTTTAAGTTGCTGTGATGAAAATAGCCAATTTTAAGGTTGTTTAGAAAGCCTAGTAAATTTCAAATATTAAGTGACATTTCTATAACAGGGATGAATATATTTATGGCATAGAAACGATCTATTAAATCATAAATGATGGGAAAACCAATTTGGATGCTGTATCAGGTAAATGAGAATCTCTCAAAGTGGATTACTTCTTGCATTTTGGTCATTTTTAAGTCCTTAGAAAAGTATATAAGATCCACCTAAGCTGCTTGTATTCTTTTCCCTTGTTTTAGATCGGGTTTCCAGTTCCTTCTAAAGACTACTACATCTCTATACTAATGTCAGTCTGAACTTTGAAATTTTCTCTTTCTTTCAATTGGAATAGATAGGTTCACCTATCATCCAGTTTGCACTCCTCCCTGGCCTTTTCAATAGATGTCCATGCCTTGTTCCCTGTTTAGGGTCAGCTTTCTGGTTCCTTCTAAAATCTTTTCATTCTCTTTCACTCCAGATAGCCCTTGCATCTTAGTGACATTAACACCTTGCTTGGAGCGAATTGATTAATAATTAAAAAAAAAAAAAATAATCCACTAATTGTTCTTTCTTTTGTAATGTGTATAGAACCTTTTTCTTTTAATTTTCAGATGATGCACCAGCTCCAGCAAAAGTTGCAAAAACTGAGGCTTAGACGACAGAAATGGCAAAGAGTAGAGGAAACTTAAGGCCGTCTGAATTCCACCTTGTTCCTGAATTCCCTCTGCTACATGACACTATTGTCCTAGTCTGGCTTCTTGTGTCCCCATTTGCACAATGGCCAAAATGTGATTGCATCTTTTTGTCATCAAGTTGATGCTTGTTTCTATTGCTATTTTACTGACTTTTAAAAATAAAACCCATCTGGGTACAAAACAGGGAAGCTATTAACAACAGCAGATATGTATTTTAATTACATATTCACAGGTGTTTTAAATTTGCAAGGAATGCTTTATTTTAATTGTTTTTAAATAATTGTCTCCTATTTAGATTTGTCCTGGATCAAGTGAAAATTGAGTTTAATTTGGATTTTGTGCATCTTCTGTCATCTAATAGTGAATTAGAATTAGGAAAGATGAAATTAACCTTCAACCTAAAATATTTTAAATTTTATATATATATATATATATATATATAGAGAGAGAGAGGATGTTCAACCTATTAAGTTTTATATTTTAGTTTTTTTTTTTTTCTTTCTTTCAACAGAACAGTCATAAAATTGTTTTCCTGAAAAGTCCTTAAGTTTTAAAGCACCAGTCAAAAATGTCTTTGAAGAAAAGTTAAAAATACATTGGAGTTCTTACTTGGCTTACTGTTTTCTTATATTCCCTGATAGAGAATATTTTTTTGTCTTCATTTAAAGTGATTTCTTGACTCTATTCCTCTCCCTTATAAGTGGAGGTGGCCTTTTTCGTCTATTAAATACAGACTCTGGAAGTGATCAGTTAGGACTGAAGGGAGATAACCGTAAGCAAACTTCCCTCTTCAGACAGTGAGGACACAAAATGCTTTGTATATTGACCATATATGCAATCATCTTTACATCTTGTAAATAAACTCATATAAACAAATTGGTTACCACTTTTTTTTCTTTTCTTGTCACTCGTTTTAAGACTTGTGTGTGTTTTTTTAAGTAGGTTTAAATTAGTCTGAAATCAGTGTTTTAATTAGATTTTAAGCTATTTTGTGGCCCAGAGTTATATACCACCCTCAACTTTCACATAAGTAAATATTACCTCCTTTCATGGTTACAGAATTTTAATCCAGTCTTTGGTTGTGGTGAGGGTATAGTTTCTGTTGAAGTTATTCGTTGGAAAGTGGTAGTCTCATATACGAATGAAAATAAGACACTTGCTAACATCCAAAGGCTTTAAAAATTTAATCATGCTTTTGGAAGCATTTTTAATATATAAGAAAAATCTCTTAGTATTCATTGAATTATGCTACAATGTCATCATTGGATTGTAAAATAAATATTAGATGTCATAATCACCTAAATATTGTAAAGGAGTCTTTGGCCATTGTTTTTTTTTTTTTTTTTTTAGTTTATCTAATACAAGGAACAAGTGTCACTCAAGGTAGTGTTACTGAGTGAGATTGTGAGGAAGGGGAAAGATTATGTGGGATAAATATCACTTAAACCCTGAATTTGCTAGGAAAGCCGCCTTTTTGAAGTGTGTTCCACAGTTCTGGGGAAGAAACTTTCTGAGTGGAACTTCCTTTTTATCATAGGAACACAATAGGGATGGTTTGCCACTGTGAACATAGCATGGCAGGTCTGAGCTGCTTGAAGTAACTTGTACGAACATCTGCCATGATAATAGTGGTGAATGGCTGGAAATGTTTTGTCTGTGTGATAAGGGGGTGCAGGGTGGGGAATAATTCATTACTCACAAGGCCAGTTAAGTACTTTGAAACTGAGGAATGGGCATCAATACACTATTCTTGGTCTGATCTAACTCTTATAAAAAAAAAAAAAAAAATGTATGGCAGGGGGAGTTAAATATCTGGAGTGATACGAACTGAGCCTCCTTCCAATATCTTTTGCAATGGCTTGAATATGTGTTCCATTTGAGGTAAGGAGCCTCTTTGTGCGTATGGGCACTTCTCAGTATTGGTGCAGGTTTAGTTTGCTTGTTAACAGTTAAATATAAAAGAAATGCTGCTTGGTAGTGTCTAGATATTTATTGCTTTATTTAAATATTAAGATTAATTTGTTGAGCTGGGATATTGAAATATGCCCATTGTGAACATTTCTATAGATTTTCATGAATCTGGTAAAAACAATTTTTTTTTTTTTTTTTTTTAATCCATTAAAGGTTTTTAAATCTAGTAACAATATATTTTGATTTTGAACATCATTTATTCAGCTATAGCTTTTTAGTAAAATTAGTTTGCAAAAGTTTTGTAATGGGTCAAACAGCTTAGTATACAATATGCCAAATGTTTTATAATTATTTTGTTCTTGTAGTTATCTTACGTTACTGATTTACTAATGTATGAAGGGAATGCTTGATTTTATTTTTATGGAAGTCGGATACAGAGCAGAATAACACTACCTGTGCATTTTCACTTGTGCTAAACATATGGTTGCTGACACCTGAAATATAACTTGTTACATTGTCTCCACTTAGGAAACATTACTCATTTCCTAACTCTGCTCACATACATTGTATGATCTCCAGAATGTTCAGCAAATATCAATGAATGGGGAAAATTTTTCTTTTCTGTATAAAAGAATTAAGCACATTTCTACAGTATGTGCACTTTGATGTCAGACACCATTTTGCTAGACTGATAAATACATTTAAAAGAAATTCTTGTCTTTGATAAATGAGATGTTACATGTGTTGAACAGAGATGTAAATATATAGAATAGGATGTAAGTTTCGACATTACCTCATGGGTAATTAAAATTCATTCAAGGAGAATTTCTGTTAAGACAGCCTTTTCTTGCTTTCAGTCAATTGTCACACATCTAAACCTACAGATAATGTACTCTTGTGTAAAGGATTTCCTGCTATCAGACAGTGGTAATGAGATTATAGTGTCCATAATATATATCTTATTATGATGATGTCTTAGTTTTATTGCATTTATTTTACAATTTAGAACAGAATTTTGGTAACTGGGGTCCCTGTTTTTAAAAAAATTGAATTTAATTTCTTAGAATTTCATAAAATTGTAGTAGTAACAAATGTAAAAAAAAAAAAAATTCTTTTATTCGTTTGTGAAGAAGCCCAGAAAGTTTGACAGATGATTGTTGCAACAATTTACAAATCAATGCTTTCACCATGGAAAATATGCTAAAATTTTCTATACTAATCTTAAATAGCAGTGACTGAATAGACATTTGTGACACAGGAAACTGGAGTTATGGTCTAAATAACCAGAAGTTACTTGGTGCGACCAAAAAAACAATGAGGATGCAAATATAGGGTCTGCCAAATGCCTTCTATAAAGAAATCTTGTAAAGAGCTCTAGCTTGTGTAGAGAAATTTTTTTTTTTTTCTTTTTTACCTTTTTACAAACAGGAGACAAGTGATTAAAACTTGTATTGTCATTCAATCATGATAGTGTTCTACATCACACACAAAAAAGTGTCGTTATCAAATAAAGCATTTTGGTTAAGAGTTCAGTAAAAGCAGTGATAATTTTTAACTCATTTCCCAGAAACAGATTAAGAAATATTTCTTTTATTTATTCTTCTGACTTATCATTACGAGAAGATGAAAGAATGGTCAAATGGAAATTTGTAAGAGTTCAATATTCATAATAGAAGCTTCACTAAATGGACAATACCTGACTTAACAAAAAAAAAACTAAGAGGCACATCAGCAGAATTATTTTATTGAAAGACTAGAAAAATTTGACTCCTTCATTCCCATCAATGTTGATCAGTTCAGCCTTGCCTTCATTTTCCAGAGTTTTTAAGGCCTTCACCAATAAAGGTCGTTCAAGACCATGAAATTCTGCAATAAGAAAAATATTTCAATAGTGTTCAAGCTTTTGTGATCAAATCTACAGCTACATTCACATATCTAGTATCCTAAAGACAATACAGAAATAGTCTTAAGAGGGGAAAACAAATTTCTCTTTCCCATATATATATATATATATATATATATATATATGGTTACTGGGGATGGAAGAGAATTAAAAGACTGGGGTGGGGGATGTTAACTGAGACCACCCAGTCCTGTGTGTTGTTCTTTTATTTAATGTTATTGGCAACTCTACCTACAATCTAGCAAGAAATGATTTTTTTTTTTTTTTTTTTTTTTTTATACTATGGCTATAAACAAGGATGCCTTGATAGCATTTGTTATTTACAACTTTTGCCTCTCCCCCATAAATGAAGCACTTCATGGCTTCTTTTTGGCAGTTCTGAATTGTTAGCATCATGACTCTAGTCCTTTCAGGACCATTGAGTAATGCTTATGAGTTGTTTATTGGGGGGGGGAAGCTGACCACAGATAACAAAAACTGATGTTACTCATGAAGGAAGTACAACACACAAGGTAGAGGAGGGGTTTAAAAAAAAAAAATTTAGGAAAGCATTGTGTCGTACAAAATGGAATTCTCAGCAGAAACAGGAAATTCAATTTTTACACTAGAATTCTACAAGAAAGTGGTAGCCAGTCTCCCTCTCTGAAATATTTCCAATACACCCTTGTCGAATTATTCTTTGATTAACAGACCTACCATAAATATTTGCATTTATATAGAGAAAAAAATATAATTGAGGCCAAAAAAAAGAAAAACAATTACCTCTATCAACAGTGTCTTCCCCTTCAGTCAATTCATAAAGTGTACACACTGTGTCTGTTAAACCATTATACACAACCTGGAGATGAAAAAGAATCATGATGAGACTTTTTTCTTGTATAACGTATGTATTATTTATTTAAAATTATTTCACATACTGTCGTAATTAGATTTTCATACATTAAAATCGACCTTGATAACCGGTAAATGTTAATGTTTATTATAAACAGATCATTTACTTAAATATTTGTATGTATAAAAAAGAATGTATAAACATAAAAATATCTTAAAATAATTGTCCATTTCATAATGTGTGACTACATTTGGATATGCATTGAGCAGATGTATGTGAGAAAGTTCTCCACTACCTTAACCGGGTATTGAACTCACACTCTTTGGGTTCTGCCACTGGACCTAACCAACGCCTTTATCGACTGTGCCATGTGTCCTTGAGGACACATGGCGCAGTGGAAAACTTTCAGAGGGTAAATTAACAGGAGGTAACTGATAACTGACATCCATTAAACATGGAACTAGAACAGTCTACCCCAGTGAGTGAAATAAAAGGTTCAGTTCTACATTCCAACCACCTGAAGAAGGCCGGAGCGTACAACGGCTGAAACATAATAAATATGGTAACAAAGATAAGGACAATAGTCCGAATAATGTAAATAATGTACATATTACCTCATCTCAGAAATATAGACAGATAGGAATATATATATATATAGAGAGAGAGAGATATAAAGTGAACATTGAAGTCAACATTCAGAGGCGACAGACTGTTTCTTGCTAGACAATCGTCAGGCCACATGTGTTGGATTTTTTCTCAACTATTTATATATATATGGGTCAGTGGTGCATTGTGAGTAGTCCATTATGATGGTTATTTTGGCAGGAGTGATTTATTTATTTTTTTGGATTAATTTATTTTGTTTTTTTTATTTCATATATTTATTCTTTTTGGTAATGTAGTAAAAAATTTTTTTAGATTAGTTCAGATTGTTTATTTAATAGTTTGTTTTGGTCTAGGAAGGTAATTAAAGCTGTAGAGGTAAATTGGGTTCGGCTAGCATTCCTGAAAATCTGTTTTTAGAATGCATGTGTCTGGCTATTGAAGGAGTTGAATTTAGTTATAATGATATGATCTATGTCCAGACAGATGGTGTTGCTATGGGTAGTCCTTTGAGCCCCATTTTGGCCAATATAGGTTATTATGAGCGACTTTTGTTTGACAAGGTCCATAAACCCTATGTTTACATAAGGTATGTTGACGACACCTCAATTTTTTATTTCACCAGTGATACTACTGATTTCTTCAGAGAACTCAATTTTCTCCATCCGTCCATTCAGTTTACTATGGAGGCTGAGAGTGATAAGACATTACCCTTTTTGGATGTTCTTGTTGGGCATAAGAATGGGGTATTCTATACCAGCGTCTTCTGTAAACTCACATTCAAAGGCTTATACACAAGTTGGAATTCTTTTGCTCCCAAGGCTCGAAAAGTTGGTCTAATTTTGACCCTGGTTTATTGCGCTTTGATGATCTGTTTTCCTAGTTTGTTAGATGAAGAACTTGCTACAATCCAGAACATTTTTGAAAGTAATGGATATCCCACCAATATCATCAAACGTATTATAGACAGTAAAATCAAACATTTTAAGGAACCAGTGGTTTTGGGACCTCATCACTGCCCTATTTATTTTAAAGTTGCTTTGGCTTGGCAGGAAGTGTCAGCTGTTGTCTGACAGAACTTCAGTTTGTATTGCTTCATGTTACAATGCTGCTAATTTGTGCACTGTGTTTCAAACAAAAACTGCGTTCACTTCCTTTAGTAAGGAACATTTGTCCTATTTTTAGAAAAATTTAGTTGTTTACAAATTCAAATGCCGATGTGAAGATGCATACATAGGACAAACCAATCTGAGGTTGCAGACACGGATTTCGCAACATGTTCCCACCTATTTGTGTTCAAGTAGTCGAAGCCAAGTTTTAAGAACTACTCAAGCAGTCTATGATTCATCAATTGGGAAGCATTTGCTGGACAGTCCTGACTGTGCCGCTGAATATGAAGACACATGGTTTTCTATTCTACATAGTGCTCACTCGGTTTACCACCTCCAATTCTTTGAAGCTGTGCATGTAAAATTTTACAAGCCGAGCCTATGTTGACAAAAGGAGCATTTAATGTGCTCCTTATGATTGATTGAGGGACTGTGAGTTTCTTTTTCCATTTTATATTCTTGTGGAACTTGTTAATCATTTTATTAATTATTTACAATTAAAATTTTTTTATTTTTTCAACTTTCCCTCCTCTTTTGTTATTATTATTGTGTCGTGATTGTTTGGTATTTCGCCAACAATTGCCTTTGAAAAAGTGTTGGTTGAAAGGATCCTAAGGTAGAAAATATTTCTATTTTGTTTAAATCTATGTTCTATTTCTGTGGGTACAAGTCTCTTATATATGAAATAAATCCTAAAGAGCCAGGAACAACCTACCTAGGTTTCACCTAAACCTTTCTTCAGGGTAAGCTGGCTAAAGAGGAAATGACATGAAACAGTATTTATTGATAAAACACTAAAAACTTTTTTTCTCTATCTTCTTCTGTCACAAGGTTTTATACTAATTACTTTTTAGTGGTTTTATCAATAAATACTGTTTCATGTCATTTCCTTTTTAGCCAGCTTACCCGAAGATCCGTTTAGGTGAAACCTAGGTAGGTTGTTCCTGGCTCTTTAAGATTTATTCCATTTATCTCTGCTCTACTTAGTGTATTGAGCACTCGACATTTTAGCTTCTTTACTCGCTTGGAGTTTTTTTCTTTGGACTAGAAGCTTGAGGCACTGGACGATTTATTTCACCCTGTTCGGATGTTTCTAGTTCTTTCTTTTTTTTTTTTTCCAATTTCTTTCCTCGCGTACCAATTTGTTTTGATTGGCTTACAAGTTGTGATATCTGAGGTTTTTTCCTAACCGAGTATTACTAGTAGTACAACAATAATAATAATATACACACACACACACACACACCTGTGTATATATATATATATACAGGATGGTATTATATACTTTTGTAGTGACAGAAAATAATGCAAAATTACAGAAAGAAAATTTATACAAACTCACATAGGCAATTATGGTTAGGTAAACAACTATGCAGCAGAAGAGAAGGAAATGGAAAAGAAAGAAAGAATGAAAATAAAGAGGGGGAAGGGAAAAATACAGTGAAAAACAGAAAAAAAAAAAAAAAGTGTAGGAGAAAGACAAATTTAAAAAACATCACTTCTTACATATTTGTAAATAAGTTTCCCCCATTCCTCTTGGGTTCTCCATACAATTGTAAATTGCCGCTTGGACTTATCGGCCCATTCTAAATGACCTACAAAATAACAATAAAGAAAATGTTAAGTGTGGATATGAAATCATTAAAAATTAATATTTTTTTAAAAAAAATATTTAGTCATTTAAAAATAAAGAAAAATGGAATCCTGAAGAAGTAAGATTATCCTGTTAGATGATATAGAGCCACAGATATGTAATGGAAAGAGTTCTTTTTTGGGGATATTTGATAAAAAGTCTATTTTCATGAGACTTTCTTTGCTTATAGTAGTTTTGCTTTTTTAACCTTTAACAAACACACATGTATGCATGCAATCATATAAAAAAAAAAACAACTTTCAGATATTCATCTAATATATTAAGTGCAAACTGTGTGTGCACATCGAATAAAAAACTGAAAATTAATTTAAACATCAAATAAATATCTACTAGCTTGCTATTTTTAGCAACTATTTTAGTGAAAACAGCTGCATATCCAATCCTGTTATTGTATTTGGCACCATCTGCAAGTATGTAGCAGTGTTTGGGATAATATTCTTTGATTTTTAGATAGTTTTCCTTGTTATGTAATGGTGAAGAATTTTGGTTTTGATAGGTCAAGGATTAATTTGATTTGTGTAAGAGTCCAAAGTAGAAAAATTCATTAAGATGTTATCAAATATGTTTGGAAAAGAAATTTTTGATCTTTCAAGGATAGATTCCATTCAAAGGCTGAAAGACTATATTGCATTTTAATTTTTTTTGTTTATTGAAGAGATAGCTATTTTGGTTGGTTGGTTGGTTAGTTCATTTTGTTTATCGGCATATCAACCTCTATGGGTTTATTTAATGCCGAAATCTAAATATTTTAAACATAATTTTATGCTTTCAACTACCAACATTTTGTACATAATTTTATACTTTCATGGTAAAGGTATGTTTAGATATATAGTTTGTAGATTATAAAATGTATTGTTGGCAATTTTACTATAAAAACATATTTTCATATTTTTTTTAGCATTGCATTGATTGTCATTTTGCTATAAAAATGTATTGTTGGTCAGTTTATTATAAAAATGTTTTGCTGATTTTTGTTTGGGGGTTCACTATTTGCCCATAGCCGAGATCCTAACAGAGGCTACCACCCTGTTGTACTTTGGATTAAAAAGTGAAATTATGAGCAGGTTTGAATGTCAAGTTCTGAGTTTTACATAGTAGTGTAGCACTAATTTTTCATAAATGAGTTCAAGGGATACTTCCTAAGTGTTACAGAATGTGTAGGCTGGGCTGGGTTGGTCAGTGATTGGTCAGAATATCTTGTTGCCATGGTATTCTGTTGTGATGGATTGGCCTTTATTTAAATTTTGGAGTCCACAGAGGGCTGTAGAAATTTAAAAGTGTCGATATGCTTTCCACACTGAAGTTCAAGAGGCTAAGATCACATGTGAAGGGATGTTAAGCCAACAAGCTGCATATGTTTTCTTGAAGTTTTTCATCCCCTTACATCCTAGAATCCATGCTGTCATGTGTAGGACAAAAGTCAGTATTTTCTTTTCATCATAGATGATTCCAAGAAATTTGTGTTTGTCAACTATAGTTATTTCTGTTACTTTCTTCTGTCGGCAAAAATGAACACATTTTAAAAAATTTTTTGAACATATTCTTTGTTGCTTCTTTATCCTATTTAGACATTACTGTAGTTGACACTATTGTGTGAATGTGCTTTGATAAAGTCATACAGAGAACCTTTGGATTTAGGCATTTAACCATATTACTGATCTTAATGCTAAATAGGATAACTGACACAATGCTTCCATGTGGAATGCATTCATCTTGTTTCTGTAGTAAGGAAAGACTGAGCTGCCAGTTCTTCTTTTGAAGTCTGGTTTTGCATAACCAGCAATAAGCATCAAGCATACTGACTTGTTGGCATTGTAATTTTATCATTATAGCTTACCATACAAATAAAAATGAGTATTTTTTTTAGAGGCTTAAAAATCCAATTACAAATATTTGCTGTTCATTTGTGCTAAGGACACCAAGTAATTTGATTCATTCCCAACAATTTTGAAATGTTTACAAAAGACTTCACATGTTTAATTTTTCAACATAAATTTGAAACTTCTCCCAGAAGGAAATTGTTGATGGAATTTTACAATCTGTCCAAGTTCCTGCAAGTTTCTCATAACCACATATTTCCAAGTGGCATTGCAGACTTTCTCAGAAAGTCAGGAAAAACTGCTGCTAGGTGTTCTTTCATAATGAAAGCTTCTCTTATGAACGTTTCTAAGCAAACCAGACGGTTAATAATGCCTCTTTTGTTCCAGCAGCTACATTGGAAATCAGTGATGAGGCTGTTGATTTCCAGAAAACAAGAGAGTCTGTTGTTTATCATCCTCATTTGGTGGCTTGATAGCATTTAAAAGCATCTACATGGCCTTGTGGGTGATGAATTATTTTCCAATCTACAACTCCATTCCCACAGACAAAACAATGCAAATCTCTTGTTACTTTATTGCTATTTCCATAATAAATTTGCTTTATCAGCAACTGCTTGTGAGTTAATTGCAAGATTAATTTTGCATTAAGTTAAATCAGTTTCTAATTAGAGTTGATACACCTCTTGTTTGTATTTTTTAATGCTGATGTTATAGTCTTGTTTATGGAAGATCTCTTAAAGAAAAACAATTGCAGGACATAAGTCTTTGATTAATAGAAATAGATCATTAATGCCATAGCCTCTTGTCTTGTAACGGCATTCACTCGGGGTGGGTTGAGCTGTCTCCAATTGAATTAACCGCATCGCGCGTCAAGGCCATCCACCCCCGTCGATTGGCAGCAGAATCGACGGCATGATCGAGCCATTCGCGATTCCAGCATTGGACCCCGAAAACGCGAGGACCGGACATGACCATCTGCTTTGACCATTGCGAGCTACGTCTTGAGTTGACCACCTCGGTGCTTCCTCCAAACAGTGGGTGCATTTGGTGCCACCAGTTTACGGACAAACTCATCACCAGGCCGCAATCCAAATGCCATAGCATGATTATATGGGCCATTAAAATAAATAAATAAATAAAGCCATGTCTTACCTTTCTTCTTGAGTTCATCCAGGACTGTGAGCAGACTGTCTGATGATAATTTTCCTAAAGATAAATTAAGGAAATAGATTTGTTTTACCATTAAGACATTTTTCTTCATTTTTTTTTTTTTAAATGCAATGTCCCATCAGGATGTAGGTGATCAAGGCTCTTCACAGATTTTGTTTCTTCATTATCTGCAAATTGCTATGACTTTGTGGGAAAGACAGTGGAGTGGATTCCCATTGTGAACTCCTCAGATTCCTTTTCTTCATTATCTGTGAACAGCCCCGACTTTTTGGGGAAGATAGTAAAGTGGTTTCCCATTATCTTCTCCATGTTTAGCTAGTTGATTTGGCATTCAGTTGTCAGCCAGTTGTGGAAAATCTCAACTAGTAGATGCCTAAAACATGAAAGACTAGTCTACACCACCATTTAACCCATAGATGGGGGAAACAGATTTATGTTTTTCCAGGGGTATTAGTGCAAAGGTGAATGCCTGGAATTTGAACTCGGCTTGCTGCCCACTATTATCATGCACAAATATTTAATGATTTCCAGCAGGGTGAAACAAAAACCAAACAAAAGATGATCAGTTACCTGAGTCCTCCCACTGAAACCTTAAGAGAGATCACTTGACATCAACTGGTTAGTGAGTTTGATTCTGAGTGCTTCCCTTGTGCCAGACTAACCTGAGCTTTGTAAATATTTAGGTTCACAAGCTTTGGCTCATAAGTTTGTTCTTGGGTACTCCATTACTGAGGCCTTATTCTAAATGAATCTGAGTAAATATCTCTAGTCTGATATCCATAACGTTCAAATTAGCATAGAAAACTATTGTTGGTATAACTGATTCTCAATGGATGCTCTACTATTGTGGGCTTGTGCCAGACTAAGTGTAGCAAATATCTATTTCTCTTTGAGAATCTATTTTTGTGAATGAAACTTCTGAGTTCTGGGTCATTTGATATGGGTATTTGTTGGTTGGCATGAAAATTAAGCAAGTTGGTTGGCAAAGTCAAATGTTGCTGAAATCTGCTTTAGTGTAGACCATTTACTACCCTTTGCTGACCTGACATGCACACTCTACCACAAAACCCAGCAACTTTCGACTGAAGTTATTTTGAAGTATTTCTAACTTCATGCTGGTAAGCCTTAGTGGTTTTTTTTTTCCTTTTTAGCTACTAATCAAATCACTAAAAGTATAATAAAAGCTTTTTTTGTTTACTATAAAAAGTTAGTTAGTCTTTCAATTTGCTTTTCTTTATATTATTTCTTTTGTTGCACGTGACACTCTTTCACTTCTGAAAACTTTGTTGAGGACTTTCAATGGTGGCAACAACTAAAATGGATATCACATGTAACTTGAATAGAAAATAACTTAAGATGTTGATGTTCAACACTACATCAAACAAAAGGTTAGGAAGGAAACCCCCATTAATACTGAAAAGTGCAATAATTAGTGAAGTTGAGAAACTTATTTTCCTGAAAAACTGTTTTAATACATTTTATAAATAAATATCACTGGCTGTTCGGTCATTGAATGTTTCCTTATAAAGAAAGGGTTAATATTACTATTAGAGATAGGAACAGATACTACACTGATTCCTATCCTATGGCCAGGGAGTCAAGAAAAGCCTAACTCAAGTAACTCAATGAATGCTGAATGTTTCCTTATAAGAAAATGGCTAATGCTACCATTAGAGATGAGAACAGATACTACATTTTGGTCCCAGTCTGATGACCAGGAAGTGAAGAAAAGCCTAACTTGTGTAGCTCTGGCTGTTTGGTGAACAAATGCTGAATGTTTCCTTATAAGGAAATGACTAATATTACCATTATCATTTCATTAAAAATGTATAGATCCCTTGGTTCTAGTAAACATTTATAAAATACCTTTCTATGCACAATATGAATAAATCAACACATCCATAAACATAACAGGTTTTGATACAGGCACTTAAGGATCACTTATGTATAAAATCCTGGTTACTGGGGGCCTATATATTATACCAACACCTCCTCATTGGATTAGGTTAGGTCAAGAGCATGCTTTGATGCCTATTCGATTATTTTCTGGGTGATATATATAATCCTTTGTAGGGGTCTTTTGTCTGCTGCCAAGCAGCTGGCATACCAAATTGCAAGACAGTATATCAATACAGTTTCAATAGAGCAATAATAGAAGCTTAGCAGCAGCTTCTCCCTTTGAAAATTTTTTTTTCCCCAGAAAAGTCTCAGTAAATAATAAACAGCATCTAATTATTTTCTGGGCTGTTTGCTGCCCTCCTTGGAGGACATTTCTAATTCTTGTTGTCACAGCAGAGCAGGAAACATAATGGAAGACAGCATGGGGTACGTCATTTGCTCTTCTCCAAGTTATAGACAATCTTAGGTCACTCTATACCCAGATTTAATAGGTTAAAAGTATATACAGCAACTTTTTTTGCTGAAAAAAAGCATAGCATGATGAAAAAAGACCCCATACTTAATAAAAACAAAGTTTTATTGTCACAATGTTTATGTTATTATTCAGAGGAAATACCAAAGTATTTTTTGATTATTTTTTGAAATTTTTTAAACCTTTCTAGCATGTTTGGAATATTGGATAAAAATCTTGTTTTGTTTACATCAGTGGCTGATGTAATAATTACGATTAGTGTTTTTGTGCTTTTTTACCAGTGAAAAACACAGTGATTTGGAAATTCTTGCAAAAATTAAATTTTTGTTGAATTTTAATGAAACTTTCAAAAATTATTCACAAATAAATGAAATTGTGAACATTTTTGTTAATAATTAAAAGCATGACTCCTTGGAGAATGTAAATCATCAATTTTTTTGTAAAATAGTTAATATAGTCATTGAAAATTGGTTCTGAATTGTAAAATAAAAAATGCAATAAAACTATGACATTATTTAATTAGAAAAGCCTTTAATTGCTTTTATAAATAAAATTCATTAAGGACATTATTGTCTTAAGAAAATTTTTTTCGATGAATAATTAATTTTTACAAGAATTGTTTACATTTTTTTTTAAATTTAAAATAAATAATTTATAATATTAAAAAATCATTTAAAATTCTGCATTACTTCAAGGTGGTTAGGTGATATTGTTATTAAGTGAAAATTAAATTTATGAATCAAAAATTGAAAAGATCATAACAGTTGTTTGTACCCAATATTTTTTTTTTTAAAAATTAAAAATTTTTTTTAGTGTATAAATATTCCCATTTTGTAACTATGGTAATCCATACGTGATAATATTATCCTTAAAAGGTCACTTGATTTAAGAGTTGTCTGGCACTTTGCAATTCTTTCACTTACATTATTCAGTTCAGTTTCATTGTTTATGTCTTTATAAATCATCTCTTCAAAATTTTAAAATAATTTTTAGTTTTTTAAAAATTGTTTAGGGTACTGGGTTAAAATGATAAAAGTTTAAACAATTTCATAATTAACAATAAAATTTAAAGTACTATAAAAATTTAATAATAAAAAAACCATCATAACAATTAATATTAAAAAAGGGAAAAAATATATTAAAAAATAAAAATTAAAAAATAAAATACCATAACAGTTTATAAATTATTGAGTTAACTATCATGGTATTTCATCTCAGTTATTAAATTTTAAAATTAATCTAATAAAATTTTATATTATTTTAAATTTTATTACTTTTTCATAAAGCATCTTCAAATGTAACGTAAGTTAATAAAATATTAGATAATTGCTGAAAATATGTTAATTTGTAAAAATTATTAGGTAGTTATAAACCAAAAATATGCATTCACTTACATTTTATAAATTTATGTCAATTTTGATCATTCATACTAGCTGTCAACACCTTGTAGCTCATAATGTCAATAAAGACATGAGAAAAACACGACCTGTCATTAAGAAATGCTTGAATACTATATTTTTTAATGTTATAAGTAAGTAATATTTGTTTCAAATCACATTAATTTAACTTTAAATTTGCTAATTTTACCCAAATAACATGTTACAAATATATATTTTATTTTTGGAAGATTTTTAAAACTGATAATTAAATTTTATTTTAAAACTTGTTAAAATGTAAGAAATGACTGACAGTAAACAAATTTTTTGAGTATTCTATCTATTGGAAACAATCAATTTAATCCTTTAACTTTCAGTTAAAGCTAAAAAGAGATCTTCAAGAATGCATTTTCATTTTTAAAAATTCATTTTAATCCTTAGGTATCAAAAATTTTAGTGAAAAAGTCTCAGTACCCAGTTAAAAGGTTTATAAAATCACATTCCAAGTTAACAAATATGTTATCATGTAAATCATTCATGTAAATTTCCTTTACATAAAAAAATGGAAGTTGTGAATTCAGTCCTTGGGTCAGTTTAGTGTGGCAGATGTGATAAAAAGACTGGTGAGTGGGTAAAGTGGCCAAAATTTTGTCATGAGACAACATAGACAAGGAGATGGGTTTGGAAAAGTCAATGTATAAAAGGAATAAAACTTTACCCCCAAAAATCAGACACAAAAATAAATAAATAAAGAAAGAAAGGATACTGTTAATCTTTTTGTTGTAAAAAAGGTCTGAGCTTTGGATCTCAGTAACATCAAGACTGTAGAGTTTGTGATGCTTGCAATAATCATGGATTAGAAAACACCAGGCTTCTAACTGTTTCTTGCGAGTGTCAATGTTGGGTTGGATGCTGAAAGATAGTCAAAAACAATAATAATAAAGTGGCAATGAAAAATGGTAACCTTAAGAAGAGTTGACATATCAATATAATTTTGAAGATAATAAATACCTCTTTATTAAGCTAAATAAAATTTTCAAACTTTCTCACTTAGTAAGCAAAATAACATTTAATGTAAGTGGTGAGATGGAAAAGTACTAGGAAGAGGAAAAAACAATTATGTCCTGACCCCAAAAAAGAAGAACAAAATTTCATGGGAAAATTAGCTCGGGGGAGGTGTTGTAATGGAATGTCCCACACTTCCTATTGCCTATATGGACTGACTATATCAGTAGCTATATATAGTGAACACAGGATATACCTGGGGGTTTGCTTCGGGAATTACTAGCCTGCCACCTGAGTCTCCGTCTTTCAATAGTGTATTCTCTTTTACAATAAACCTTTCTTCTTCATCTATGCGCATGTTGCTGTTCCTTCAAATGAGTACCATCTTTGTCTGTTTGTAATGTCTTTAAAGATACAACAGTAAGTTTGAATAATTTCATGTAAATTTGAACAGGAGTAAAGCTTTATCCCTTATCTCCTGCTTAGGATAAGGTTTCTAAAGTCTTCTTATTCTCTTCCAGTGGCCGCTTGCATCTTAATGGAATTACTGCCTTGCTTGGGGTGAATTGTTTAAGAAAAAAAAAAAAAATAAATAGCACTACTTAAATAGAGTGATCTATTAAAAAATATGGAAAAATTCTATTGAAAATGATTTTTGTAGATTAGCATTCTTTAGAAGTTCCTTAAGCCATAATTCTTGAATGACATTGATTTCTTTTTGTTTTAGATGGTGGGGGGCTGTTTATAATATCTATATAGGGTAAAATCAATCCCTGAATTTTTACAAAGTTATTGGAAATTAACAGATTGTTTGCAAATCTCAAGTTTGAATGTTTATGTCATTCATAATTGCATACAAAAACAGACTTTCTTTAATTTTGCAAAAAGATTTCTTTTAAGTAAAGAGAAAATAGGTATATACATTTTAAGAAAATATTTTAAACAAGCAATTGTTTGAAATAGATTTTTCATTATTTTTCTTTACATAAAAGATTTTTTTGTCATTAAAGAAGAAACAAACATACATTTTTGAAGTAGTACTGCAGTCTTAAAGAACAAAAATTGATATAAATTAATAGAAGTATTAAAAAATATGCAGATATCTATGATGCCAGCACATTTTCAATTGATTTGTTTTCTGTGGTTTATCAACCCTTTGCTGATTATTTAAAGCCAGAAAATATTTTTAGATTGTAAGATTTTTTTTTTAAGATAATATCAATTTAATGATACAAGTCTTACTAATTAATCCATAGCTGGGCAGAGAAGAGTCAGATGAAACCAAAAACTGAAAAAATCCAAGCATGCATTTATGTGTTTCTCCCTATAAATCAGAGTGGGGCAAGTGTTTTACCATCATTCCCCTTCTAGATTGAAACCAACAGAAAGAAATCTTGAGGCCTGAAAGGAAATTGACAAGGTATTCGTTTTATAATTAAGCAACAGGTTTATACAATAAAATCATAAAAAGGATTTTGTTGAATTCAAAAACTATTCATGAAATAGTGAAGAAAAAAATGTTTGATTTCTTCTACACACAATATATTTAAGTGATGTAGTTTTAGTACAGTCTGGCCATCTTAATCTGAGACCCTTGGGACCAAGTAACTGCTGGTACACAGAAATCACCCCTAAAAAAAACCCTATGTAAATATTCTTAGGGCCCCCAATTTTCTATTTCAAATTTTCCTTGATTCTGTTTCCACTTTTGGTAAATTTCATTTTTTCCATTTTTATAGTATTTTATGTGGAAACTGCAATACAATATGCTATAATTATTATTAAAACTGAAAACAAAAATATAATTCGAAGTTTTATTGCATATAAAGAAATAGCAAATATCTACAATTTTTTTTTTTAAATATTAAAATCCAAGTCCAAAAATAGATTATATGTAAAAATAAAAAAATGTAACATGACTAGACAATAAAACAATGGAATGTTACAGTGCATAATTATCTTTTGAGAACTTAAACAGAGCTTCCTTCTTTAAGAACACATTCAAAACACATTCAAATTGTTTTTGTTGTTTTAAGTATTTAGATTGATTTATAATTATTGATTCATAATATAAAAATCACATTTAAACTATTAATAACTTGAATCTCAATGATAAATATCTGAATAAAGTCAAACATTTTGACTAAAATTTTACAAAACTGTTATTAAAGCATAATAACTGAATCTTTGTAACAAAATATCAAAAAACAAATTAGATATTAATTCAAAATATCCCAAGTTGAAATACTGCTCAAATTTAAAATTCCTAATTTCTTAATTTGGGAAATGTCTAATCTTCAAATCTCTTCCCTAAATCTCCATTGTAATACAACATTGTGAGTTGTTTGCTGTTCTCAGGGGTAAGACTTTCACGTTTTTATTGAGAAAATGAACGTTCAGCATCTATGCTGATAACAGGCATCCATATGGCCTTATTGACAATCTGTTCCAGAAGAGGAAATCTGCTTTTATTTGCATTCCAAAATGATGGGATATTAAAAGGATTTGGTAAATCATCTTTGTAATTCACATATATTTGGAATTCTTCAAGAAGATCAGTAGGAGGACATTGCAAATCTTTGATGGCTACAAAACTGGTGACTTGTGAGAGGCTGCTGGGATATGACCTGCTGATTGGAATGAACACTAAAAGCGATGGGAGAGGTACAAAACCCTTCATCATGTGCAGTAGAGTTCTGAGGCAGTGAACCACTGATATGTGTGGCAATAACCATTGACGAACAAGACTTCAGTGCCAAATTTGATGAGGCAGCGATGGTTTGGACCAGAACATGGAAGTGGATGGGGGTTCAAGACCCAACGGTGCTGCATAACATGATGGCAGAATACCCTGTGTCCAACTTGGTGCAACATTAGCATGAATGTGAGCTGCAAGTCTGGCTGAATAATGGCTAACTGACACCATATCCCGAGGAGGAGATCAGGCTGGCTAATGGTTTAATTCCACTGATGTCTGTGGTCCAAGAGAACAAAGGAAAGGTTCGCCCTGTCATGGACTACTGGGAGCTGAATAAATGTTCACTGCAAATGCTGACGTTTGTTCGCACAAATTAAGAGAATGGTGGAAATGGGGAAATAATATATTGCTTCTGGATGTAAGAAAAGCTTATCTGCAGGTGCATATCCACAAGTTGTACTTCTGAGGGGGCGTAGGTAATGCTTTATGCAGTTCGGTTTTGGGCTGAATGTAGCACCTCTTATAATGCAGTTGATAATCGATGTGGTAATGACTCAGGAGAAGTTAATTAAAATATGCCACGTCAGCATAAAATGACAATATTTACATTGATGAAAGCTTAATTTCGCTGAAACAAATTCAGAAGCATGAAGAATGGGGCCAAAATATTGGGCTTGTACATGGGGGTGGGGGAGATTAGCATGGTGTACTTCAGTGGAGACAAGGAAGCGAGATCCCACCAGTTCCAGCCACCATTACTTGCCAAAATGCATTTTCTGTATGCAGGAAGTTCACTGGTCACTTTCCAATGTGTGGCTGGCTCAGACCAGTGACTGCATTTCTGAAGCGATGGCAAACGTGATGACCAAAGGTTGGGATGACAAGACATGCAATGCCTTACTAAAACACATGCTTACCAAAAAAGTTACCAAAGTACATCAGGAGGACCGTGCAAGAAGGAATTTGTTCATGCATGGTCAGGAAATAAAGGTGTGGGTTGATGCAAGTTCCCTGGCTACCAGAGTAGTGCTGAAAGTTGACACAAAGATGTGTGTTGGCTGCGCCTGTATGGAGACTCACAGCATATAAATCTTGCTGAGTTAATCTAGCACTAAAATGAAAAGCAACAGTGCTGCACTTGCTAACCAATTCAGCATGTGTACACCGGTGGATGTACTTGTAGTTTATCATCATACCTAGGACTAACAGAATTAAATCTGGTGGTATATAATTTGAAATGTCATTGAGACACTGAATACATTTGCAGAACTAATCAGAGGATGATGGTGAAAATAGATCAGGACATACCAGCTATGGTCTGTAGATGAAAGTGTGAAAATTTGAACACGCTTGTCAATACTTCTGGTTCTGCAATTGTGGAACATCTAATAATTAATCTTATTTGTACCTTGTCTTTTGCCAGGGATGTTTTCTCAGTTGTCAGCAAGGTGCATTTGAGAGTGCTTGAGACCCTGCATATTAAATCCAAGCAAAATTTTCCTCTGTAAGCAGAAGAAATGGTTGCTGGTATTAATATCATCTGTGTGTGACCTATAGTGTTAACTCTCTGGAAATATAAAATCTATTACTTATTTCATTAATTTTGTTTCAGTTTTATTATTTTACTAGCTTAAAAGCTGCCCTAATTGGCAGCATTTGGACTAGCTTCTCTGGAGGGTTCTTGATTGGACCTTCATCACAAATAAGGCAACAAAGAATTGATTTGGTGTCTTTGGCTTTTTCTTGTTTTTTTTTTTTTACATGCTAAAATATATAATAAACAGTACATTACAGCTACTATGCTACAATCTTTTTTTAATCTTCAGTAATGTGCCTGAATTATGGGAGATTTTGGCCCATTTTATCAGCATATCCTTAATCCAGAAGAGCTCCCAGAAATTTATTCTAAGAAAAAAAAAAAAAAAAAAACAACAGTATAATGATTCATTTGCAAACATGCCAATTTCAGCAGCCCATCAAAAGGAAGAAATTTTACTTATATAATTCTCTATCTTATAAATAAATAAAATAATGACCGTTTTTCTTGTTTTTTCACATGCTTGAACCTATTCTCTAATGTTTCTTTCATAAGTTAATAAGTTCTTTAAATAAAATAAAAAAATCTTACGGATACACATAAAAAAGGAAAAGATTTAAAATTTAAGTTAGGTAAAAAAAGAACAAAAAACTTTTCAATTAAAAAATTTAAATTTCATTTAAATTTATCTAAAAACGTTTTTAATCATAAAGTATTATTAAAATTCTAAAAAGAGAACACTAAAAAAAAAACAAGATTGTCCAGCGAATCAGACTTGTTTGACTATACTACTGTGTTATCTAAATTAAATTTCCGATTATAGCTAAAAAAAAAAAAAAAAAAAAAAAATCCCTATAAAACTGAAATAAAAAAATTGTTTCATTATAAAAGCCTAAAATCCCACTAAAATAAAATCTTATGTTTATATAGCTTTTTTCTGGCTTTATATAAAAAATTTTAATTTGGTTTTTTAAACGTATTGTTTGGCTTTAAAAAATAAAAATTTTAATCTGGCAACCCTGTTCGGCATCTTCATTATTCTCTACCTGGTTCTTTTGATTAATTTCTAATTGCTTGTACAGGGTGATCTGAAAGTCTTGTCACACCTTACCAAAATGAGAACAAAAGAACAAGAAATACAAAACATAATTGGGTTCAGTTTATTCATTTTCATTGACGATGTCACACATCGAGAAGGTCTGTATGAACAACATCATTTTCATGGCACAAAAAAATGTTGCGGCGCCATGTCCTATGTGATATATTTTACGAAGCTCTGCTTTGTTGATTGTTGCAAAGGCTATCTGAATGACATCCTTCAACTGATGGGTATTCTGATATCGTTCATGTGAAACCCTCCTTCATAATATCCCCACAGAGCGTTGGAATAGAAAATTATAGGGGGGGTGACAAGATTTTCGGACCACGCTGAGAATGTAGAGATAATTAATGAGAAGAGATGTGGTATTTTTACACAAAAGTAAAAAGTTGGAAAGTATTTTTTGATAATAGTTGACGTGTTAAGTTAATGAGTAGCTCTTTAAATCAATGATCTTTTTTAATTTGATTTATTGAATGAGTCACTGGATACGTGAAGAATTTTCCTATGAAATTGTTGTTTCACTTTGTTTTTCAATCATCATTCCATTGTTTTTTTAATTTAATATTTACTTACATGGAAACAAATATAATTAACAATAATTTAAATCAAGAAAGGACCCTAGGAATATAAAGACCACTGAAAAGAAGAACAATATATACAAAAATAAAACATTTCGTTTAAATAATATTTTTACCTAATTCCTCCGTTTCAATTACATAGGACTTTTCTTCAACATTTATTTATCAACACAATGCAACAAAACATAGGCAAGCGTAAAGCCTATAGCAAAATATAAGAAAAGCTCCATTTATGAAAATAAGCATTCAAATTTCTTTAAAGTTCAATGACAATACTCTGAGAGACAGTATATTTTACCAGACTTACGTGAAAAAAGGAGGAAAATTATACTGCCACGGCCACTCGAACTCCGCCATGATTGTGTAAACTGAAAGCCGCTTACGACGTTGAAAAAAACAAACAAAACAAAAACTTTACTCCTATCTGGTTAAAGGGAAGCAACACAATGTTAGAATTATCTCCCTTGTTCATAAAAATACTGATCAATTATTTTTTTTAAAATTAATGTTGCTTTTTCCCGTAAAGAGATATCATTGTTTGTAATAAACCTTATATGAGCTGATTGCATCCTATTTGTACAAGATTAATTTAAGTAATATACGATACTCATCAATAATGTGTTATACCAGAAAAATAAGGAGTTCTCAAATCAATTGCTGATTTGGTATAAAGATCATAAAAATACCCTGTCTTTCTCTCTCTCTATCTATCTATATAATGATTTACTAAGCATAGCTTACATATGGCACAAAACCAAAAGCATGAAGCAGCCAGTGAGAGTCAACAAAACTACTCATTGCACCACATAGAAGTGCCTCTCTCTCTCTCTCATATATATATCTATATATATATTTATATATATATATATATATATATATAAAATATAGTTTTAAGGTGTGCTATATTTATGGGTTAAAGTGTTCAGATATCAGAGATAGAGCATATATAAATATAAAAGTGAAAACTGAAGTCAACACTCAGAGGTGAGATGCTGTTTCATGCTAGAAACAACCTGTCACCTCTGAGTGTTGACTTTAATGTTCACTTTTTAATATATATATAACATTTTCTTTAAAATTCAACTGACAAAGTTTGTCTCTTTTATTTCCAATTGTATTTTTCCAACATCTTATTTGAAAATTGGAAGAATATAAGAGAAAAGTAAACAAAGAGAACTTGTTGATTGAATTTAATAAAGCTTCAGTGAATGAACTCTTCCTGCCAAAATATACTATATCATATATTATATGTGATAAAATATAATTTTATCTTATGCTATATATTATGGGTTAAAGTGCTCAATATCAGTGATAGAGCATATGTAAATATAAAAGTGGACATTGAAATCAACACCAAGAGTATTTGTAATTTATCCCTGAAAATGATCTTAGAAAAGATCAAAAGTATTTGGGTTAAAAGAAACTATAGCACCTTCCTTGATGAATTTCATCTTAACATCAAGAATCTGAAAAGGATCAGTATAAAAATAAATAAACACAATATGTCTGTATTCTTGAATGAAAATATATATATATATATATATATATATATATATACAAGTATATAATTGGTATATACGGAATGAATTCCAATTACTATTCTTAAAAGAGTGCTATTTTCAGCATCATCACTTGATAAGACACAGAGTGTGTTGAAACAAAATGGCTATTTTTGTAGTGATTTTATAACATACTTATGTTATAACTTTTTTTATATAAAAAAATTATATATATATATATATATATATATATATATATATATATATATACAAAACAACCAAGATGAGAAGAATATTTTGAATAAATTAATATGTAATAATGAAAAGTTATTACCTTAAAAATCAGAAAAAAAATGTTTGAAAACATATGCATCTTTGTGTCAAGATTAGTCAGTTAAGTGCCATACATGATACACACATAGGCAATCATGTCTCTTTCGACTCATGACTGACTAAGTAAAAGATTTTCTAGCAGTAGATTGCCCTTTCTTTCTGCAGTAGACTGCTTACCAACCAAGGCTATAGAACCTAGTCTGTCCTGCTATTCAACCCATAGCTGGAGGAAGAAGAGATGGATTCATACCTTTCCCAAGAGCATTTGTGCATAAGTAAATGTAAGGAACCTGACTGGAATTCAAACACGTGACTTCAATTTTACATTCTGAACCATTATCCATTACATCACCTGCACGTCAAGAAAGCATTCTTTTAAGTCCATCTGCTGCTAATGAATTTTTATTTTTTCCCATAGTTTTTAGAACGTCATTCAGCTTTAGCTTATTATAACATCATGATTTTTAAAGTTTAGATTTATTCATTTCCTATGCAAAATAAAGAAAGAAAACATTGTTGACCCTCAGTCCACCAATGTCTTCAAGGGACCCATAATTCTTTTTCAAAACTAATTTTTTTACCTTTATAGCTATTTGTTGAAACTTGAATAAAGCATGGAATAATAATAATACAACACAAAATGTACTTAAACAAAATGTATTGACACAAGAACGTGTACACAATATTTACAGATAATTTGGTATATTCTTGGGAAGACCGTTCCTATAGAATGGGTTGTCCTAGTCGCAGTCAGGCAGAGTCTCTGGATTGGATCTCTTCTTCCCCCACCGTCTTCCCGGTACCAACCATATTTATATGGTTGGTACTCCACTATGTAAATTAGGTGGATCGTACCACAACACTATTCTATCTGAATTATTTTATATGGCTTTTATTTTTTTTTCATTTTCTATCATCTACATAATGGAAATAAATTTATAACAAAAAAAAAAAAAATTTTGGTGAGTAACTTCTATTATCAAGTGGGTCCATTGGACCCACGGTTGAAATTTTTAATTAAATAAAAAATATCATCCATTCTAAATAGGTACCATTTCTTTTTCTGTAGATGATAATGAAAGTGATAATGTCAGCATTACTTGTTCAGAATGGGATGATATTAACGATGAAAACAAAGCTGACGGAAATAATTCTTCAAACCCTTCAAGGAGGAATGAAAAGTATTATTCAAAGAATAAATCTGAAATTTAAACCAACTGAAAAGTGACAAGGCAAAACTCCATTCTACAATGTTTTACATCAAAATCCTGGATCTTCATGTTTTGCAAGATCTTGTGATTCACATCTTTCATTTATATTGTTCATGAAGCTAAATCTCTTGGAAATTATCGAAAAATGGACAAATGCTGAAGGAATCCTGGTCTTGTAGTTATTGATACAACTACAAACTCTGGTGAGCAATACACTGCCCAGGAAGCATCCAATGAGACAAAAGAAAATAAGATGCCCCTTCTGTGGTTCTAAAATGGATAGAAAAATGCAAACTGTCTGTCATATTTTTCAAAAAGATATCTGTCAAAGCCATTTGAAACTATTCTGTGCAGAATGCAGTGACAAATTGTAATTTTTTAAAAATGTAATGTTCTTAATTTCAAACTAACTGCAAAGATGTATTGTAATTTTTCTGTTTCAGTGAATAAATTTTGATTAAAATTGTTATTTCTTTGTCCATCTATAATTATACATACATAATAATATCCAGAAATGCAAAAAGCTTGAATAATTTAAAAAAAATAGAAATGGGTTCATTGGACTCAGGTGGTATTTAATGGAAATTTCTTGGTAGAAGAAGGGTTAAAGAATGAAAATGTAATTGTCTTTGATTTTAAAAGAAGAAAATTTGAATTAATATTCAAAATTTGATAATTTAAATTGTTAGTGTGTAAAGATTTCAAATGAGTTTTCAAAAAAAAAAAAAAAAGACACACAAGAAGTGGATAAACCAGAAAGGCAGACACCAAGAAAAAGATTTCAAAAATCAAATCAAAAATAAGATTAAAATCTTTACAGATGTAGGAGAAAAAGTGCATGGATTCTTTGCTGTAGTTTCACTAGTAATAATTTCTATCTATAAAAGGCAGAATGTGTGTGTGTGTATCTCTATCTATAAAAGGCAGGATGTGTGTGTGTGTGTGTAACGAATGCATGTGCGCAATTTTCGACAGATTTGCACCAAAATTTACATGCACATGCTCCAAGTTAGCAGAAAGGTCAAGACCGACTTTGCATTTCCCAATTCCCATTGATAGTAGAAATAATCAAATTTTTCATGATTCTACGGCAGTTTTCATGTAGTTTGTGGCCATTTTGTACTAGCCAGAGTGAGAGCCTATAGCTGGCTGCCACGAATAGGCAGGAATATTCTATTGGCCAGCATGAGAGCCAACAGCTGACTGACACGAATGTTAACTAGCATGCAAAAAAAAATCGATAGCTGCATTCATCACAAGTGGGAAAAATTTAAATCTGCATGGCACTTTACTCCAATTGGCTCATTCGCTTGCTTAAACTCAACGTTGATTCTGTTTCCGCAGAACTGGGTTGGGTGTGAAAAAGTATTTGTTGTTAAGATTCTTTTTTCATTCAGTTTTTCCAGTTACGAGTCCTTTTTTAAAGCTGATCGTTTTGTGTTCATTTTGTTTAGTTCTTTTTTCGTAACAGATTTAATGTTTAGTATAGAGCTAGAAAAAATTTGCAGTGTGAGATAGGCAAGAAGTAAGGCATGTAGCAACATCAGCACGGCAAAGGGCACTCCTTTAAAGGCAAGGAAGGGCAAAAATATTTTAAGTCAAGTGATAGCGATTGCTGTATGAGTCGTATGATTTTTGAATCAAGCACGGGCAACGCCGGGCCATGCTTTGAGAAGGCCAATGCATGCAAAAGTCCAATCTTTAAATGCAAGCATATGTTCTTGTCTTTCCAGATGGTTTATAGTTTTGTAACAGCTGCCATTTCTTTGCTTAACATTAACAGTAGAATTACAAAGAAACATTAGAAATGAGATTCTACTGAACCATCTTTGTCATGTCCTATGTAGACGCTATCGTTTGTGATGCAGTACAAGACACTATCAGAAAAGAAACCAGCCCACCTTGTAACTGCTGTCAAAAAAAGGAAGTTGAAATGGCATGAAACATCATAAAAGCCAATAATTTACCATCCTACAAGTTACTACCTTAGATTGAAAAAAAAAAAAAAAAAAAAAAGGAGCATACAAAGAAAAAAATGGGCTGACAATGTCACTGTGCAGGCTGGAAGATCCTTCACAGAGAATCAGACATTGGCATGCAACTAAGACATATGGAGGGAGCTGGTCAGGTACTCAGCAACATTCTGACAACACTTGATCATGAGCCTGGTGATGATGATGATGATAATGAGTAGAAAAAATAGATCATGTGATATGAAGAGAAAAGATTGTTCAATCAATCATTGTTGGTTTGAGTAAACTCAAAACCTTTGAGTTTGCATTAATCTAAAAACATATAAATACAATACTTCACA